CAAGCAGGCTTTGCTCGGCACCAGGGTGGAGGAAGCCCGGCGGTGCACGGCGTGCTCCCATGCCGGCCGAGCCGGGCAACCCACGGGCGGCGGGCTGGGAGTGTGGAGACAGGAGCGGGGACGACATGGAGGCATTCCCCCGCCCCGTGAGCTCAGCACGGTGGTGAGCCGGCGAAGCACGGGGAAGCCGGAATGCCTTGGCAACCCGCGACAGCTCTGCCCCCATGATGTCAGGTAGGGCGGAAGCAGTGCAGCGTTTAGAAGCACCGCCGCCATAACCCCGAGAGGGGGGTGGAGAGAGTAGCCGGGGCTGGGGAGCACCGGGAGAAACCTCGGAGAATGGCTGGGGGTAGAGGGGTGCTAAGAGGCCAGCGATTCCGGTCTGCCGACCCTTTTTTTGCTTCGGCAGCTTGTCCGCCAAAGGGAAGGTGAGCCTGACAGCGGTGAAAAGCCGCGGGTGGGGAAAGGAAGCAGCCCAGGGCAGAACCTATTAGGGGTGGTGGGCTGATGAGTTACGGCAGGGGGGCCCCCCATCTGTGTCCTTAGGGCCCTGGGCTGGGGCCCATGAGTGAGGGTGGGCCCAGGCCCTTCTTTCCCCCACCCCCGCTGCCTTGGTGAAGGCGGTAGTCTGTCCGCGCCACTGAAGGTACCGCAGCCGAGGCGGGAGGATCGACCAAGCGGCCGCCAAGGAGGGCGTCCGAATGACAATAGTCCCCCCCCAGGAAGGGGGGGGCACAGGGTACACTAACATTACCCTGGGCCCAGTACCTAACATTCCATATGGCCCAGTACCAGGTTGCAATCTGTAATTTGAAAACCATTGAGCTAACTTGCTTATAGCAGACATTTGTTAGCATTTTTCGGTTGTCAGAATTTGCTTATTTTATTTACCTGAGAACCTGCTTCAATACAAATTGTAGAATTTGGCATATTACTTTAAATCTTAGTTCTGCACTCTTTAGTGTTTGATGCTCTTATTAGCTAGATATTTCAAAAGTCATGAGAGTCATCTAATAAGGCTCCAAAGTCAGACACTGCATCAAGACGACCAAACATAAGCCAAGAGTGTGGAAACTACTAAAGGGAGTGATGCAGACATAGCTAATAAAATTGAGCTGAAAATAGAAAAAAAAGAATAAAGAAACATTAGAAAGAAAATACAGAAATCAAAAGAAAATAAAGAGAAAAAACATATTAGCATTTTGACGATGAGTCACATTTAATTCCCGTACCTCACTTCTTACATTTCACTTTACTTCTTTGGAAAACACCTCATGGTTCTATTAGGGACTGTGACATTTAGCCACAATTGTGCATTATGGGTAGTAAAGAGCCATACCACTCCTGGAGAAGAGCACTGTGAGGAAGAATTTAAGTCTTGCAGTTTCTTGGCATAGTCCAGATACAGAGGCAGCAGTGCAGGCGGGGGCTCATTGGTTAACTGTTACATTATCACATCCCTAGTAAGATATGAGAGAATTCTGTCTTGCTCTAATCTGCACTGGTGAAACCTCAGATGGAGGAGAGTGTCCAGTTCTGGATGCCACACTTTATGAAAGATATGGACAAATTGGAGAAAGTCCAGAGGACAACAAAAATGAAAAAAAGTTTTGAAAACGTAAACTATGAGGAAAGGTTAAATTGAACTGGACATGTTTAGTACTGAGAAAAGACAACTGAGGGTAGAAACTGATAACAGTCTTTAAATATGTTCAGAGCTATTAGAAGAGGAAGGTGATACATTTTTCTTATCTGCTAAAGGTAGAACAAGAAGTAATCAATTTAATCTGTAGCAAGGGAAGTTTATCTTAAATGTTTGGGAAAACTATCTAACTATACAGATAATTAAAGACTGAAATAGACTTCTAAGGAAGGTTGTGGAATCCCCTGCTATTGGAGGTTTTTAAGAACAGGTTAGACAAAACATCTTTCAGGGATGACATAGGTATACATGTCCCTGCCTTAGCACAATAGGGATGGACTAGTGCAGTGGTCCCCAACATGGTGCTCGCGGGGGAATTTGTGTGCGCCCGCCAAGTGCTCGGGGCTGGCCTGGCCCCGGGCACATGGCGCACGGTGAGCGCCGGCCCTGGGAGCGCCGCAAGACCTTCATTTCTATGAGAGTAAAGTTAAACAAATATAAAAAGTCAGGAATATTTAAAATGGTATGCCATATTAGCATATAATTTCTCACTGAATTTCAAGAACAAAGCACCAGTGACCCATTAGTATGTACACCAAAAATACAGTGAGAGCTATTTAGTTTACAAATAACATATATTACAAATATTCTGAGGATATCTGACTTCAATTAAAATAATTTTCTAAATTGTAAATCAAAACTGAGAGATATTATATAAAAATACAATATATACATTTTTTCAGACAGAAAACAATAAAATAGTAGAAACATTTAAATATATTTTAATCCATTATATGGAAGGAGTGTTTGCAAGGGTACCAAATGCTTATGCCCTTTTACCAGTTAGATTTCTTGAAAAACATGAAAGCTATTAATTGTGTACTTTAAAGTCTAATATAACACAGATAAACATACATCTAATTGTTTACAGTCTTGTATAACTGGCATAAATTACTAGAAAATCAACTGTTATTAATGTTGACTACCTGCATTCATCACTGTAAGTTTCCTGTTCACACTACTGAAACATGCGTATTTTAAAATAATCTTCTAAAAATCTAAATTCTTCCTTGTTATGGTCTCTGCAAAACCTCCCTGTCAAGGTTACATATCCACATGGCAGGGCATCTAGTTCCCAAGGTAACCACTGTGTGAATCTATAGCGCCAATTTATTTGAAAAAGAACAATTATCTGGTTATGTATGGGGCCAATGGTAAGGGCCTGGGGAAATAAAAAGTGAGATATATAAATTTTTAGTGCTGTTCCAAAATTTATGTAAATATTTTAAAAATTAAATATTTCATACGGTGAATTTAAAGATGCATGCCTGTGCTTTCATATGAGAGTTTGTGTCTACTCACAATAAACCATAGTAATTAGACAAGCACAATGAATCTGCACAGGAGAAGGTCATACACTTCTGAAATAAATCCTTCATGTTTTATAAATGAGCCATTTGGTTATAGATGTGCAGGCAGTCATACTATAATGTGGTCATAACACCTTTATTTATGAAATTTAAGGCTTCAATGAAAGTTGTGAATAAATGATGAGCTGGTAAAGACATTTACCAATTAACAAGCAGCAGCTGTTTGTCCTTTTTTGATGGGGGAGGGAGGGTGGATTAAAATTGCACACCTCATTTAATCAGTATTTTCTTGTACTTTTTCTGGAAGGGAGGAGGGAGAAAGCAAAAAACCCTTTTTTCAAAAAAGAGTAATTGCTTTTCTAATTTATTAAACCCTTAATCAACTGAATGCAAATTAAAAATCTAGAGACATTCTGTTTTCATATATGTTATATAATATGAAGACTCCTTTACAAATCAATGAATGGAAATATTTACATGTAACTACAACAGTTAAAGGAAACAGTTTGTATAGCACGTTATTCAGGCTTAAGCCATATATGCTTCATTATTTAGTAAAACTGATTATTTTTATAAAAATAGCCACATCACAATGAAGAGTGAAGATTCCAAAAGTGCAGTTATTATGTTACATTTACCACAGAACTACAAAATTAACCTGAATGTGACACAAATATGTCAAATATTAAGCATCACAACAGGTATTATTTTTAATATTTTGTGATTTTAAGCTAATTTCATGATTTTGAGGGACTGACTCATGATTGTTGAGCACTTGGGGATCGTAATACTGCATCTTCCTTTGCTTTTCTACGTTCAAGAATCACACATGTGCATTTGGTTTCTCCTGATGAACAGTAAATTGTATCTCTTCAGCTTTCGTTTTTAGAACGACAGAGAAACACAACTTGTTCAGAGCACACAATACACAGATATGATGCTCGGGCACACACATAAAATAAAGAAAACTAATATTCTCAATAAAAAAGAATATGCCAGAAAACATGAAGAATCTGTTATCAGGAATAGTTTTGTTCAGTCAAAATGTATTGCACCACCTGTAGTCCTGTCTTGTCACTCATAAATTTGGAATATCTCTCTCACTGCTTCAAGGATTTTTGATATCACTCTCACTGACATGTTTCCTTTCTAAACACAGGAAAAGAGACAGATTATGCCATGAGTGTTTGCTGTTCCTTCTCCCTTTGAATCTTCTTTCAAAAGTCCAAATCTGCTCTCTCCATTTCAAACCCCAATACATACCATCTATGCTCCTAAAGCCATCACCTCCCCTATGATCCTGTCTCTTCCACATTGAAGTTCAATCTCACCATATTCCTGCTTACACCTCCTAAACAGAATCCAAAAACACCTATATCCTTCCATCCCTGAGACAGTTCTCCCACACAAAACCCTCAGTCTCCCGATATTTTATCTTCTGCTGTTCCCTAGGGAGATAATCCAAACTTCAGAGTTCTATGACCCACTCTCTCTGGAACACAGACAGTTTCTAGTCTCTCTTGAAATCTGTGGCTGACAGTCTCAAATGTATTTTCTGTTCTTCCTCTTTAAGGGACAGACCTTTATTTCAGCTTGGGAATAAGCCTGGTTTTGAATTTAAGTGAAGCGAGTAAAAAAAAAAATGAAATCACAGTAGCATTTGATGGAACTAGTAATACTCCTGGCCTATTTTCTACTTCAATATTTGGGATTTGAATAACATGAAGAGGAAATTGAAAAAGCACACTGCATTTTGTAAAATAAAACTACTATTTTAGAGAATAAAGTACTACAGTCTGACTCATAACCCATAATACCTTTAGAATAAGTAATAAACATGTGCAATAGTATTTGTATGCAAAATATACATTTCAATTTTTGTGATTTCCTAACTCTAGTTTTCAATTCAACAACTCATTTTATATTCATTTTTTAAATGGTAAAGAATTTTGTAATTTTTGTTATTTTATTATAAAGTCTGTACTTACTAGTAGTGGATACAGAGATAGCTGGGCTATAAGCCCACTCCCCTGTAGGATGTGTGACTTTCAGGCGAAATCTGTAGGTTGTTCTTGGCTCAAGACTTTCCACAACATGTTGTCTACCGTATCCCCTAAAAAAAATCTCTTATATAATAATTCAGATAGTATTTTTCAAAATTTTGGCATAAAACATAAACATAATGTTCTGATGCATAGGTGCTCAAGCAAAAACGAATATACAATTTTACACTGCTCTCATGTTGTTCTGTTTACAGGAACTACATCTTATGTCTATGTCTACATTGGGAAAGTTGTTGCAGTACAAGCCAATTTGTGAATTTTAAACCAATAAAGTTATTCCAATATAAATCCAGTGAGGACACTCTTATTCCAGAATCAGAATGACTTTTTTCAGTTTATTTTATGTCACTTGGGAAAGGATTTAAACTAAACTAAAAAACCCATTCTTACTCTGGACCAAAAGCATTCATTTAAGAGGATGACTATACCTATATAACTACATCAGTATAGTCGGTAAAAAAAAACCTCTCCAATACTGATAAAGCTTAATTTATATGCCTAATTTAGATTAAGTGAGCATGTATACGAGACATTTTCAGATGGAAATGTCCCATTAGAAGTATGACCAGCCATTTACCTATACTCTGCATACAGTTGCTGCAACTGTATCTGAAAATTAGACACAGATCTAAGCATGTTTAAAAACATGCAATGAATTATAGAATGTTATTGTCATTTATTACTTAAATACAAATACATTTTACAGCTGTAATACCCCCAAGTTTCAGGTTTTTTACATAAATCACAAAGTAAAAGGGTTATTTAACCATTTACAAGAATTCTACAGAGCCTACCCTCGGACACATACAGCATTCAAGATGCACATTTTCTTCTTCTAAAAAGGATACATTTATTAATTTTTTTCCCCAAAACCCAGTGTGTTAAAATATTTTCATTTTAAAATAATAAATAAAAAGGGAAGGAAACTGATTTGAAAGCTTATAAATTAGTATTAATACAGTCTAATTCTGCCACCTAGTGACAAATCTTATATTGTAAAATTTTCTAATGACTGGGAACCATATTATGCATTACTGAAGAAGCTGAAGTAATCAGAACAGCATTCCAAACAACAATGTAACTATGCAATGCACAAGGACTGACTTAGGTGACTTGTCTAAAGAAGTTTAAATCTCCTGGGTCCTTAGAAGAAGACAAGTTGCACTGCAAAGCACAGCATAGAACATCAGTTCATGGACTACTTCACAAACATGCTGCTCATCTTATAGATACATCTGCATATCAACAGACACCAAGATAAGAGGGCAAAAGTGAAGGGATGGAGCAGATTCTGCAGCCTCTACCTTCCAACCCTAACATTCTTAATAATTTTTAGCATCATCTGAGCTCCTTATTCTTTGTTCAGGTTAGGCGCAATGTGGAATGAAAATAGAGAGTCTCGGTGCTCATTTTATGGAAATAAGGAATGAAATCACTTTGTGGGGTGGCTAGTGCCTCTCTCTGCCACATTTTGCTTATAGAGACCATAATCCCTGGAAAGAAGAGAGAGGAAAACAGAAGTCATCCCTAGTAATATTAAATATATTCTTTTAGGATCTGGCCACCTTCTCTAAAATGACTGTGTCACTCTGGTGCTCTCAGCGAGCTGCAAGATAGGTTTAGATTTCTTACAGTTATCAGTCAGCCAAGCAGAATCTACACCTCACACACGCATACTATGTAAAATTCTGGCCCCATTAAAGTCAATGGGAGTTTGCCATTGACTGTATGGGAGCCAGGATTTCAATCACTGTCTCACAACATCATCACCCAGAATACTGACAGCCATATATAGCTATTATGGGGATAGTCACTATGGGTATGTCTACTCTACAATGCTATTAAGATGAGAAAGGCAAAGGCACAAAATGAGCTCAAACTAGCTACAGGAATAAAGGGAAACAAGAAGACTTTTTAAAAATACATTAGAAGCAAGAAGAAGACCAAGAACAGGGTAGGCCCACTGGTCAGTGAGGAGGGAGAAACAGTAACAGGAAACTTGGAAGTGGCAGAAATGCTTAATGGCTTCTTTGTTGCGGTCTTCACCAAGAAGTCTGAAGGAATACCTACCTAACATAGTGAATGCTAGTGGGAAGGAGGTAGGTTTAGAAGATAAAATAAAAAAAGAACCAGTTAAAAATCACCTAGAAAAGTTAGATGCCTGTAAGTCACTAGGGCCTGATGAAATGCATCCTAGAATATTCAAGGAGCTGATAGAAGAGGTATCTGAGCCTCTAGCTATCTGGCTGGTGTGTCTTGCCTACATGCTCAGGCTTCAGCTGATCACCATATTTGGGGTTGGGAAGAAATTTTCCTCCACGGTAGATTGGCAAAGGCCCTGAAGGTTTTTCGCCTTCCTCTGTAGCATGGGGTACAGATCACAGCTGCAGGATGCTCTGCATCTTGGGGTCTTCAAACTATTTGAAGGATTCAATATCTGAGATATAGGTAAGAGGATTATTCTAGGAGGGGGTGGGTGAGCTCCTGTGGCCTATACTGTGCAGGGGGTCAGACTAGATGATCATAATGGTCCCTTCTGACCTTAAAGTCTATGAGTCTGAGTCTATGAAATCCTTGGTCCCATGGAAGTCACTAATTTCAGTGAGCAGGATTTCACATTTAGCCTTTTAAGCATAACCCACTATTCAGCATGTAATGTGTCTCCCTCTGTGCCCACTGAGTAGAGGCTGTGAGACTGTTACAGCTCCCAGCTATGGGAATTGGGACTTTCACTCAAACTATATACAGAATGCTCTCAGCAGCGCTCTGATCATTTGACATTGCTGTCATCTGTGGAAGGCTGCAGGCCCAGATGGGCTGTTGCACAAATTCTTTTGGGGGGAGCATGTGGTTGACAATCATGAGGATAACAAGGTATAAGGGGAAAAAAGAGGAAGCAAGTAGATAAAGAGGAGTTCAGAAGGCAGTGAGCGTTGCAGGGAAGCCTACTTTGCTGCTTGCTTGTATTGCACAAGCATTGATATGGAAGAGGAAAATAAATACAAACCTTCATGTAGGATAAACAGTCTGGTGTGGGTCTGTGATTGTTAAACTACCTAAACTGGCAGGCAGTGAGGTTCATTGGGCAGTGATGAAGGATGCTGTGTAACACACTGGTCATAACCAAGGGTACGTCTAAACTACATGGCTCCGTTGATGGAGCCATGTAGATTTGTTTGTTTGGCAAAGGGAAATGAAGCCGCGATTTAAATAATCGCGGCTTCATTTAAATTTACATGGCTGCCGCGCTGAGCCGACAAACAGCTGATCAGCTGTTTGTCGGCTCAGCGCGGCAGCCATGTAAATTTAAATGAAGCCGCGATTATTTAAATCGCGGCTTCATTTCCCTTTGCCGATCAGCCTAATCTACATGGCTCCATTGATGGAGCCATATAGTTTAGACACACCCCCAGAGACACACAAATTGCACTGATTTTAGTGAATAACCACTGTGCTTTATAGATTTAAAGCTACTCACAAGAACCAGGAGATTGACACAGAGGTACAGGATCTGTTCTGCCCGGGGAGACCTCAGTTGCGTTGTTAGACTTGGCTTCTTACGGTTGGGCCTTTCTGGGACACGACAGGCTCTCGGTGACAAACCTTGCTTTGATCCGCTGGAATGAGTTGTCACAGTGCAAGCGGCCAGTGTAGACAGCTGACAAGTTTTTCCGGAAAAGCGGCTGCTTTTGTGGAAAAAGGGGCCAGTCTAGACACAGCCATGCAGAATGGGAAGTGACTGTCTAGGAAGGAGTACAGCAGAAAGGGCTCTAGGGGTTATAGTGGACCACACGCTGAATATGAGTCAGCAGTGTGATGCTGTTACAAAAAAAGCAAACATGATTCTGGGATGCATTAGCAGGTGTGTTGTGAGCAAGACACGAGAAGTCATTCTTCCGCTCTACTCTGCGCTGGGTTAGTCCTCAGTTGGAGTATTGTGTCCAGTTCTGGGCACCGTATTTCAAGAAAGGTGTGAAGAAACTGGAGAGGGTCCAGAGAAGAATGATTAAAGGTCTAGAGAACATGACTTATGAAGGAAGGCTGAAAGAATTGGGTTTGTTCAGTTTAGAAAAGAGAAGATTGAGGGGGGACATGATAGCAATTTTCAGGTATCTAAAATGGTGTCATAAGGAGGAGGGAGAAAACTTGTTTATCTTGGCCTCTGAGGATAGAACGAGAAGCAATTGGTTTAAACTGCAGCAAGGGAGGTTTAGGATGGACATTAGGAAAAAGTTCCTAACTGTCAGGGTAGTCAAACACTGGAATAAATTGCCCAGGGAGGTTGTGGAATCCCCATCTCTGGAGATATTTATGTGTAGGTTAGATAAATGTCTATCAGGGATGGCCTAGACCAGTGGTCTCCAACCTTTTTACACCCAAGATCACTTTTTAAGTCTCAGAATAGGTGAAGATCTACTGCCCCGCCCCTTCCTTGAAGCTCCGCCTACATTACATGAGGAAATCTAATGTAAATGTACTGCGCAGGTGCGCAGTTCAGAGAGGGCTCAAGAGCTACTCTTAGAGCCCCTGAGATCTACCGGTAGATCGCAATCTACAGGTTGGTGACCACGGGTCTAGACAGTATTTGGTCCTGCCGTGAGGGCAGGGGACTGGACTCGACCTCTCGAGGTCCCTTCCAGTCCTAGTATTCTATGATTCTATGATTCGGGATATTGAAGATATCCCGAAATAGCTACCCTGCGACTTTTGAACGCATCCGCTATTTTGAAATATAGTGGACGTGCTATTTCACTATCCTTGTAAACCTCATTCTATGAGGCATAAGAGATGGCTCAAAATAGTGCTTTATTTTGAAATTTGGCACTGTATAGACTTGAAATTAGCTACACAATTTGCGTAACACAAACTGTATATCTTATTTTGAGTTTCAGGTGCTGTGTAGATGCACCCTAACAGTGACCAAGGAAGTGAATGGAAATTAACAGGCACATCAGTGTTATTTGGTTGTCTTAGGTATGCATCCCTCAGGATCAAAGCAGGATGGAGCAGGAAAACAACATATAACCTATAATTGTTGTAAAAAAGGAGTAAGTAGTGTTTCTTCAAAAACTGTGCATATGCTAAGTAATTTAATTATTTCGAAATAAATTTATTTTAAAAATTGAATTAAAAATAATGTAGCAGTTTTCAGAAGAAAAACAATACTGCCATCATAAAAAAGTTTATAATTTCATCACTTTTCATCTTCAAAATGCTTAGCATGGCTTAACTAAGATAAAACTTCATTTACATTGCACTTACGAATAAATGGTACCATAAGTATGTAATTTGGGGTCCTCTTCTTCAATAGATATCTTTAGCCATTGTTCTTGGGGTCTTTTTCTTTGTTCTGTAGTTTCCACATTCCAAGAGAGCTGAATGCTGTGATGGGTCACCTCACCTACAACTGGAGGGTTTGGTTTGGGGATAGTAAGTTTTCCTAAAAAAAAAAAGTATTTCAAAATGTTATTTCTATAACATAAAATGTAAAAAGATTTTCATATATGTGAAACTCCATTTTCAATGTTCATTTATTAGTTTTTTTATTCCTATTTTGATTAAGAGCTTGCATTTTTAAAATATTTTTGATGGATATCATATTTACCCATGAGCACACTCTCATGTATACAGAAGGGCATTCTTTTAAATTTTGCATCCCTTTATCTTGCTAGTATATTTTAGCTCACAATTTGACAAGAAAACACTACACATTTACTGTGCAAAGATTAATTTAAAAATATAGGCTATGTCTAGACTGCACTGTTTTTCCAGGATACTGGAGGTATCCTGAAAAAGTAATGCCTCGTCCAATTTTCAAAAAAACTTCAAAAGAATCAGATGCGCTCTTTTGCCATCCTTGTAAACCTCATGTTATGAGGAATAGGGGATGTGTCGAAAGAGCACTTTTTTCTGAAATGTGACACTTTGTAGATGCTCCAAATTTCGGAAAAGCCTCTTTCAACAATAAAGCGGAAAAAACCACGAAATTTGCATACCGCAAATTGCATTTCTTTTTCCGACTTACCATTGCAATGTAGACCTAGCCATAATGCTGTGTTAGTTCGGGGGGCACATATATATAATTTTCAATGTGTAGCAAATATGTTTTAAGTGCACTACATTTTGTACATGAAAAGAAATCCAAGAAAGAGAGTTTTTAATAACATCCAAAATGCTACAAGTTTTGGAACACAAAGCTACAGTTTATCAATAGTGAAGTATCCCAAGTCACAGAACAAAAAGTCTAGGAATAAAAACATAATAACGGCTAAATTAGGCTAAGATTTCAGAAGTTACATACAGTTAGTCAATATAATGCTCATTTAAATTAATCAATGAATGCTTGCACCCTGTCTTCATGCCATGGTGACAAGATAATGTCTTATGAGGCTATGCACAGAGGACCAAATTGCAGCCCTGCAGCTATCCCCCCGTGAGTACCAGCTCCTGTCTGCTCCCGATCCCAGCCTCTGTGGGAGCAGAGGGGTGGGGAAAGCAACTCTGCAGGAGCCAATGTGCATGGGGAGCCAGCTTGAAAACTGGCTTCCTGCATGTACCGGCTCCCACCTGCCCCCCTGTCACCTTTCGCGCTGCTGCCTCTCTATCAGTGGTAGCAGCATGGAGGCTGAGGGCAGGTGGCTCTGTGGGATCTGGTGCTTGTGGGAAGCTAATTTCAAAGCTGTCTCCTCACAGCATCAGCTGCTGCCTCCCCTCGCCCTCCATTTTGGTGCCTCTGATACAGAGGCAGGAAGCAGGGGAATGTATACAGCCGACTACACATTGACATCCCTACTCAGGAGTCACTGCTGTTGCAGCAGGTATGGACTCTGAGGACTCTAAAAACAACAGAGGAGGTTTCTCATCACATTTGTGGAAAGAGGTTTTATTCTTGCTACTTTCTGATCCTCAAATCTAAGGGAAGAATGGGTACATCTACACTGTGGTGCTATTTTGGAATACTTCCAGTTTCCCAAAATAGCTATTCATCTCGACAGTGCATCCATTCTTTTAAAATATCTTTCAAAATAATGGGTGCGCTATTCCGACAGCCCTGTAAACCTCATTCCACAAGGATTAAAGGACATTTCAAAATAGCAGTTTATTTCAAAATTACAAAATAAGCTATTTTGAAATACATTCAAAATAAGGTACACAATTTGTGTAGCTTATTTCAAGCTAAGGGTGCAGTATAGACACACTCTCAACAAATACTTCAAGTATATAAGATTCCATATCATTACCTGTGAGCAGCACAGGGTAGCAAGGGACTCCCCAGGACGGGGGGCCAAGAGCGAACTGGCTGCTAGCCCCACCTCCAGGGACTATTGAATAGTCACGTAACTACTAAAATTTAATGCAGTTATATGATTATTCAATTACATAGTATCTAACATCCGTACACCTGAGAGGGGTGCCTGAAGAGGGAGAGCGTAGAGGGATGGAAGCAGGGAATGGGTAGGAACAGAATGGCATAACCCAATCACACGATGCTTAGGACCCATTTGTCCATAGTTATTGTCTCCCAAACACCATAGAAGTCGTACAACCTGCTCCCAAATAGCTTGCGAATGAATACAGGCAGTCCCCGGGTTACATGGATCCAACTTACATCGGATCCCTACTTACAAACGGGGTGAGGCAACCCCGCACTAGCTGCTTCCCCCCAGCAGACCAGGGAGACGCGGAGCGGCTTTTCTCAGCAGACACCTCAGCTTGAGAATAAAGGACTGAGGGAAGTGAGGTGTGGGAGAATAAAACTGAGCTCTGGAGAAATGTTTAGCTAGAGTTTCCCCTACAATATGTACCAGTTCCGACTTACATACAAATTCAACTTAAGAACAAACCTACAGTCCCTATCTTGTATGTAACCCGGGGACTGCCTGTATAACACTGGCAACTGCAGGGATGCTCTTGAAATGCCTATCAGACTACCAAGCTGAAGCAACAAGAGGAGGGTGGGCCTTTTGACTAAAACTTGACAAAAAAGATTTCTTTCTGTGTGATTTGTGCCCTTTTCTTAGGAAATCTTATTTCCATCATTTACCCTGTGAAGCAGCATCCTTGAGGACACTATTGTTGTTGCTCATCAGAGTACAGTTTCTTTGTGACCTTTGCATAAATCCCCAATGAGCATAATGTGGTCTGGGAGTCCTTGAAAGAATGTAATGTCTCCTCAGATTCCCAAATAAATAGCAAGCAATCAAATGACAATTCCTCTATGCTTCTCTGGATTTCAAGTGCTATGCAAGAGTTTTATGACCATGATGAGATTCCTCTCATTGTTACAGGTCAGGCCAAGAGCCCAGATGAAGCATCTGCTATAACTAGGACTGACTAAAAGGATGTATTGGCTACAAAAAAGGCTTTCTATAACAAAGGCCATGCATTTTTCTCTAGGGGATTTTGACAACTTGTTCACAACTTTGGATGTGGTATCCCAGTTCACAAAATCCCATTTCAATAACAGCTTGCTGGCTTGCAATACACATCTGCAAAGAGGAAGTCAGATAGAGCATCCTTCCCATTACATCTAGCCTTATGAGCTCCTTTTCTTCAGGTGCAGATTTATATCTTCCCTTGCTTGCTTGTTCATGTGCCACTGTAATAACCAAAGAATTTGGAGATGTATGAGAGGAAAAAAAAGACTCAAACCCCTGCACTGGCACATAGTACACTTTGTTGTAGGTTTTATCAAGTGGGTGATTTTTACAAACTCTCTACTCAGCGGCTGTAACTATGTAACTATGGTCAAGTGGGTAACAATTTGCTTTCATTTTCTCCAGGAAAAACTTAAAAAACAACAAATAGTCTGGTAGCACTTTAATTACTAACAAAACATGTAGATGATATGTGCTTCCGTGGGCACAGACCACTTCTTCAGATGACTCTAGAGTTATCACCAATTAATTGGTACAGAGTAAAAATCCAAAGTCCAAAATTAAAAAAAATTAACTCAAAAAGGAATGTGAGTTAAGATATAAAGGATGGATAAGCAAACATACAGAGACCTAAGGGGATATGTTAAGAGACTGACATCCCAGAAATTCAATATATATTCAGTGTTTAACCAGCATGTCAAGAAGATTGTCACCACTCCTATATCAAAGCATCACCAGTTGTGGTTTCTTTAATACTTGGGACTGTGCTGTCCTGGGATAGGGTTGCCAGATGGTTTCAACAAAAATACCGGACACACTTGACGTTACATCACAATCTACATTACATCTTATTTAGAAAATACCAGACATTTATATTTTCACAATTTGTTTCCCGAACAAGAAGCTCAAATACAGGGCTGTCTGGTTCGAAACCGGACACCTGGCAACCCTCTCCTGGGATGCCAGTTTTAATCTAATCTGTTTTAAAATTAATATATAATCAAAAGAAACCCAATCTGTAATTAGATATATTACAAGCCAGTAAAAGTTATGGAGGGGAGGGGAACAAGCAATTCTTCCCCATAAGCACAATTACTATTTCCCTAACTTATAAGCAAATGTTAAAAAAAGGTAGCTTGGCACCTTCATCAAACAGAACAGAATAATAAAGAAAAGGCCACCATCTCTTGACTAAAATTGGAATCTCTTACATTTTCACCAGCCTCTATTCAGCTATTCATTACAACTCTAAGAATCTGAGAAGAGCCTAGAAAAAGTTTGACATTCTGAAAGACAATTCATCTCCTCTCACTTCTGAAAGGAACCATCCCAATCCAGAAGAGCTATACCTATTTTTAAATTATGAACATTTAAAACAATTCTTTTAAAATAAATAAATCAATCAAGTAGCAACTTCGAGAGAACACTCTCCATTGATGCTGGACATTCCATGTAAACTTTCACATTGGTCCTGGTATTGTCATTGGTAACTAACAAAAGCAATTGTATTACTTATTTTTCACTGCCCAAAAGAACATTTTCCGGGCCTCATTTATCTCTAGGTATGAGAGCAAGTGATACTACAGTTTTACTGGATGGATTTTTAGTAAAAAAAAAAAAAAACTCAACCCAGACAAACAGCAACACATAGGGGTCTTTTACACCATCTTCTGAGAAATCTATATTGAGTAAGCAACGCAGCCAGAAACAGGATTTGTAATATGCATGATGAGTATTGATTTGTGTAATGCTTATCACTACCATAGATAAAAGTATAATCTATAACAGTTAATCTCCATATATTGATTTACTTTGTGCTCTATTTAATACCTA